AGTTAGGCCTAAATGTTATTAAACATATACATTGAAATAGTTAGGCCTAAATGTTATTAAACATATACATTAAAATAGTTAGGCTTAAATATTTAAAATAAATACCGTCGTACGTATAAGGAAGACCAGTGAAATTGGGGTTCAATTTATAAAATAGGGTCGGAAGATTGTACCCTTGTAGTAGGGATACTTATGACGTAGATATGGATATTATCAGATTTAACATTTATTCGTAAGTCTCAGTTATAAAATGAAATCTGTAACTTAAAGATCGGGAATAGATAATTGCAGTGAAGGTAAGGATAAAGCTGTTGTTATTGTTACGCCTCTGTTTGTTAGTCAATTTTCCGTAAAAATTCTTCCCGAAGAAACTTTACCGATACAAGTCCTTTCTTAAATAAAACTGGTTTATTCTTTCTGAATACAACTTTGCAATATACTTAATTTCCACAGTGCGCTATAAAAAACGCTATAATTCACAAGGAACGTCTCAAGTGCTCGACTCAACAATACGTCTCTCTCTGTCCGCAGTTGAATTACACATTGTTGCCGTCAGTTCTTGGCGGCTTATATACAAGAATACCGCATATCTAGTAGCTTCTCGAGACTTCAGGAAGGGACGTGAACGTTCTAGAAGTTCATGACGTGTTACTAGCGTCACGCGACTTCCGCTGTCGTAACATTATATTAGATATCTTTATATTAAATTATAAAAATTAACACAACTGTTGAGTTTTCTTGATAAACATACCTATACGCAGTGCTTGAAGTGGGGCAGAATGAGGCGGGATGTCATCCCACTTCTTTAAAGGAGGACCCGAAACCATCTCGCTACCTTGTAGTAGACTTAAATCGCACTAGTAGGGCGGTAAGATGCAACACAAAACGACAACGAAACAAAGTACAACGCACAGAGTCACACAAGTTGAGTAGGTTTCGTGGCGGTCGATGTGGGTGTTAAATCTGTGCCTGTGAATAAAACATGCCATTAAGTCTCATTTGCATCAAATTTGTTTGTCTTCCAGTTAAACTTTTTAAGCCACGAATGGGAAACAACCACTTACATGTTGAATACCCTTTTGTCCTGCCACTAAAGTAAAAGATTATGTGATTATTATATATTTTTGTTAATAAACCAGAAGAATTCAGAGTGGCTATTTCAGACCTATAGATGTTGGCCTAATTTAAAACTACACTCAATCCAATTAGGTTTTCTTTTCCTTTTCAAATGCATGGATTTCACAAATCAACTCATTTTCTCCTTATCCCAACTTTAAGCAGTGTCTATACGTCCCCCGGTGGGACAGCAGATAGCCCAATGTGGCTTTGATCTAAAAAACAAGCAAACAAAAGATAAAACCTACTTATACATTTTGATTTATTTCTCAATAAACTGTACTTTCTAGTCACAAGGCGAAACCAAGTAAGACTGATTTCTTGTGTAGTGAAAATATAAAAATAATGAACTTATTTATGCTATCGTAGTAATAATCTATTATTCAAGGACTAAGTATGTTTGTTTTTTTGTCTAAGGCAAATTCTCCCATTTCCAAATTTTTTAGGTTTTACCATTTTTGTAAATGTTTTATTGATGTTTATATACAATTTCACGAAAACTTCAAAATTGTTTTTCTTAAACTTGTTATTTACTGAATAACGAAATTGGTTTTGTCTTATCTTTCCCAGTTTCTGATGCCGTAGAAAAGAAGAAAAAATCTAGTTTATTTCATACATATTACTGTAACATGAAGATTAGATAACATCAATAAAGTGTTGTCCAAGATACGTAACTAGTTTAGTGACACATACCTATAACATGAAGATTAGATAACATCAATAAAGTGTTGTCCAAGATACGTAACTAGTTTAGTGACACATACCTATAACATGAAGATTAGATAACATCAATAAAGTGTTGTCCAAGATACGTAACTAGTTTAGTGACACATACCTATAACATGAAGATTAGATAACATCAATAAAGTGTTGTCCAAGATACGTAACTAGTTTAGTGACACATACCTATAACATGAAGATTAGATAACATCAATAAAGTGTTGTCCAAGATACGTAACTAGTTTAGTGACACATACCTATAACATGAAGATTAGATAACATCAATAAAGTGTTGTCCAAGATACGTAACTAGTTTAGTGACACATACCTATAACATCTCAAAAACAATTACGTCAAATTCCAACTAAAAAAAAACAAACTGCGTAGCTTGCATAAATGATGTTTATTCTAAAGATTCATGATTTATTATTTAACTAGACTGATCCATTAATTATTTCTTTGTATAAGTTTAAAGTTAAGCTGGAAATGCAGGCGTTAAAATATTTTAAGTTGTAAATATTATTCCACAGCCAGTTCAAGTAACAGGATGGACGCTAGCCGCCTGTTCAAACGCAATCAGTTTATATGGAACCTACAACTGGAGTCGAGGTGTGGGTGATAGTCAGACAGTAGGACTGCTGTACTCTGGCTTATATCGGACCTTATGGGCGGCTAGTGTTGCTTGGATTCTTGTAGCATGTGTCAGAGGGAAAGGAGGTAAATGATTTAAATGCACTGTCATTGCAACGACAGTAAAGATTCCAAGTAATATATGCGAGTATAATTATGACGTATTCTCAGTTTTTCAATGTAACTGATAATTAATCAAATAGTGTAGTAGTCTATAAAATACTTGAAATGATAATTCATTAAGATGGTGTGTTTAACCTCATAAGTTTTTAACGACGTATCATATCAGCCAATTAACACCACTGGATGACAGGAAAAAGAGAACGTGGCAACTGAGATGTTACCGTTTTAAAATCGAAGGGATGTAAGAGAAAGGAGAGATAAGTCGTCGTTCAGTTCTGAAAGAAAAGGCGGAAGAGATCAAGTAATCCAGTGACGTAAGCAGGGCACTTGATAGCATTGTTTACTAACCTTTCTTTAGTGAAGTCCAAGTGGAGGTATTTCTGCTACAATCAATGTACTGATCATCGTCTAAAACCAGCACTGTATATTTAAGCACCTCGGTTTGTGAGGCAAAAGTTGTTGAAAGCTAAAAGCCAAACATTTCCTTGACGTCACATAAACTTGTTCCAGAAGAGTTTTTTGTTTGTTTGTTGTTGGGCTATTTGTGCTGTGCCCACGCAGGTATCGAAGACCTCAGAAGTACCGCTGATCCACTGGCGGGTCTACGAGAGTCACCGTGTAGGAACAAATAATGACGGTGTTTATATTTTATTCTTATTTATGCTTGTTTTAAGATAAATAAAGTCCTTTTCTTTTCAACAACGTTTGACGAATTCGGTTTCGTATAGTTAAATACTACAGTTTATTTGTTGAAGCACCTTAGAGATATTAGATATTGCTATTATTTTCTTTCCCTAATTAGCTAAATATATATGAATGTTCTCCTTTGCATTCTGTTTCATTTTAACACTCTTCGAAACAGTCCGTAGTTGCTCATCAAAGTTTTGTATTACTCAACTAACTAAACAACAATGCTAAGATATATCACCTGTATATTAAAGTGTTTCTGTTCTTTCTACTTATAATACAGGTATTATCAACCAGGTGTTATCGTGGAATGGAATGAAAATCCTCGATCGCTTGACGTACATGGTTTACCTGTTACATCCATTGGTTCAATATGCATACATCGGTCAACTAAGACAGAACACAGACGCACGAGCCATCACTTTTGTAAGTTTTTTTTTTAACTAACCTTGAAAATGTTCAAAGTCAATCAAATAATTAATCTTTTAGCCACTGCATTAAATAACTGATATTATACAATATTCTTTATATGAAAGATCAGTTAAACCTTTTTTTTCAGAGGAAAATACTTTTTTATTTCTTTTGCCACGTGCATATATCTATGTAGCTGTACGTTTTGTTTTGTAAACATTAGAAATTATTCACCAGTTCATTCATGTGATGACATTAAGTTTTTTTTTCGGCAAGGAATACCAGTAGCGTTAGTTTTTATTTTCTAAAAGCGCCGTTTAAAGTGCCTTTTGATCGACGATTTATTGACTAAAACCGTATATGTCAGAATATAAAACCCCAGTTAGTGTATGTTTATTTATTTATGACAATTACTTAACACACTTAGCACCTATAGCTCATAGTCATTTCTGCTATTTTAGCTACGAATATCTGTATAGGCGGCGGGTGCTATTGAATGATTGCCTACCTGTTGGTTAGCAGTTGTTATTAAGGATGGCCATGCCCGAACCTTGGAGTCTCTGATCTGGCCAAGTGTCGCACATAGTGCCGTTCGGGTTGAAAATACCAAACACTAAATATGACCGTCATAACAGCACCATATTCACGTTTGGTTATGTTTGTGAAGCTTCATCTGATCTGTAATATATTAACAAAAAAAGCGCGATTTTTAGGAATACTGGGCTAATTAGTCATAAGGAAATTTCTCCAAATAAGAAGAGCCTTTAAAAACAAATTAAAAATTAAACATTAAGATTTTTTTGGTCATTTTTTGTGACATTCGGGTATATTTCCAATATTATTAAATTAAGTAGTTGTGACAAATTTTCATTGAAAAACTTAGATAAAAAAATAACTCGAGTTCACCTTAATGAGCAGTGAAACAATGATATATGCAGAAACTATTTTGATATTAAACTATTAAACGTTTTGCACAATAAGGAAGCTATTCAGTAAACTGCGGTTACTTCAATAACAGCTCTTGTTTTACTTTAATGCTTTTTGAAACCTAAATAATGAGTTTACAATGTACAGGTTCGTGAGCTGTCTTTAACTTTTATTGTTGATGTATTATATTATACATATTTTTATTGTTGATATAATATACATATATTTAAGTATTTCCAACTAACTGGTAGCGTATTGTAATAAAAAACAACAACAAAGAAAAACATAAGCAACATCATATATAATATGTTATTTATATATAACTGCTAGCGTGCTGCAATATAAACAATAACAAAGAAAAACACAAACAATCATATGTAATATATATTGTTGCAAAAAAGGCGACCACTTCACTAATATTACATTTGAAAGCAACTGCCATTTACTGTATAACGTAGAACATTTATGTTTCATATGATGTCTATTTGTTATTGTCATTAGTCTGAATATTCGAAAATAATTTACATTTTTTTACATCTTCAGTTCATAAAAAAATACTAAAAATCTGAAAATGTTGGATATTTCATTGAATTATGAAAGAGGATCCTCAAGATGGACTAAAATGTAAAAAAAAAAAGATAAAAGATCATACTACAGGATTCTCACACAGCGACTCCATCAAAAGGGAGATGATAGCTTGGATTAAGGTTTAAGAAACAGTTATGGTAATAAAATGTACATTAGCTTGGATTAAGGCTTACGATACAGTGCCCGGGGGTACCCCCCTATTGGCGGTCCTGGCTTGCTTCGGATATTAAGGTTACTTTTCAACATTACTGACATATTTAATTGATAACATGCTTTATGGTTAAAAGTAAAGTTAAACAGTTAAGTCCGTTTCCCAAAACAAAATTGTGCTTGCGTTATTGCAGTGAAGATAAATCCGTAACTTAACACAAACCTGCGAATTGAAACTTCATAAAAGTTATTTTGGTTTTAATAACGGATTTTTCATAATACAGCTACGCAGACTTCGAAATTTATGTTCAGTATTATCTACCACGTAAGGATTTTTTACAAATCGGGAAGAAAAAAAACTTACTTGGATCAAATTATTATTTCGCTTACCACAATGAACATTTTTTATTATTATGTTTGTTATGCTTGGGTTCTAAAATGATCGTTAAGACTCTCACGTCGTGATTGGTCTAGATGACTCTATAGCCAGTGGTTGTCAACATTTTAAGCATAACAAAATGTGACTCGATTTCAATGAAAATGATTCATTTATGTAAAAGTACATATGACGTTTTGTGAAAATCTGTACGTGATGGAGAAAAATGGATATCATTTTCGGATTAAGCCTACAGGAAATTCTGTGGAACATGTAAACATTTCAAGACAGTCAAACCATCGCAGGCCTATGTAATCATTATAGTTTCATTTATAGGAGATTTATTATAATTATTATTGTTTTGTGCGTGATGTGAAACATTATATTTTTGGAAACCTGACAGTCACGTGTGGGAGATAGATTCTGGAAATTTTATTGAAAGTAGAAAATTAAAATTAATTTGCTGTAACAACAGCGAAAGTTTCATGGATTGTCCTCCATATTGTAATCCAGAATCAGAAATATTTGACAGAGACGTAAAGAATTAAAAACATAAACGTAGTTCCAAACAATAAAATAAATTGTAAACAGTTCTGTGCTTTAAAACAATTTCGATCTAAAATTCAAATTTTTTTATAAAGTTTAGCTTTCAGTTTTTCTAATGTATACAAAAAGTATCACTCATCTGATCACTAAATATATATAATTTTTTGAAAGCTAAGGCATTTCCTATATATTAAACGAAAATTTTATATGGTTTGTTGTAATAAAGCACAAAGCTACACAATGGGCTATCTGTGCTCTGCCCACCACGGGTATCGTAACCCGGATTCTAGCGTTGTAAGTCCGCAGACATACCGCTGTACCACTGGGGGGCATCTGATATGGACAACGATGTTTTTACATTTTCTTTCTGTAAGTAGCGTAGGATGAAGGATGTAGTTCGTGAATAAGATCGATCAGTATATGAAATGAGAACCTTATTAAAGTATCTGATAAAATGTACATTTGAAAAAATTTAACCCTTTGTGAAAGGTCAGATCTATACATTTCTAATTTAATCGTCAAAATACGGTTTTAGAATTTAACATCATAATTTACCTACATATTTTTCTTGACCTATATTTCTGTTTCAAAGTTCGAATTTTCAGCTATCTCACGTTTTAAATTTTGTTTTCGATGATACTAAAGATACATCGTTCGAGTCATGACTTTACCTCTTTTGAAGCCCCCCAGTGACACAGCGGTATGTCTGCGGACTTACAACGCTAGAAACCGGGTTTCGATACCCGTGGTGGGCAGAGCACAGATAGCCCTTGTGTAGCTTTGTGCATAATTAAAAACAAACAAACAAACAAACAAACAAACCTCTTTTGAACACAAAACGGCCCTGTTAGGGCGCTCGACTCGCAATCTGCGGGTCGCGAGTTCGATTCCCCGTCCCACCAAACATGCTCGCCCTTTCAGCCGTGGGGATGTTATAATGTGACTGTCAACCCCACTATTCATTGGTAACAGAGTAGCCCAAGAGTTGGCGGTGGGTGGTGATGACTAGCTGCCCTCTAGTCTTACACTGCTAAATTAAAGACGGCTAGCGCAGATAACCCTCGTGTAGCTTTGCGCGAAATTCATAACAAACCAAACAAACTTGAACACAAAAGCCGTTAAGAAACAGGAATTTTAGTTCAAATTTCTCGTATCACGTCTTCATCAGTGTTGATATTTAAAATATGTGTAAGAAAATCGAATTATACTCTGAATTAAAATTTTGTTATGTGTACGTTTAGAGAAAAATAGCAGTGCAAGGCGGTTTTTTTAAAGAATTAGAAAATATTTTTGTTTCAGTTGAATTTTAAATATTTTCTACATTAAAATTGCAAAACAAAAAAAAAACTGATATATTTTCTAGTTATTTTAAAGTTATTTCAATATTAATTTGAAAACTTTATTTGCTTTGTTTCAGATATACATGTACTTTGGACATGTGATTATATCATATGCGTTGGCGAGTTTTAGTGTAGTTTTGTTCGAGATTCCCATCACGAAGATTCAGAAACAACTCCTCTTGCAGCGGGTTGGTCAGCACCGGAGGGTTCCTGATGGTGCTCGTGATGAGGAATGAAACGTTACAAGTTATAACTGACTGGATGAAAACACGTTCTGAACAAGACAGTGTTTTACTACCAGTAAAATAATCACACTAGTTACTCAAACTGTTTCAGTTTGTGTTTTTAACATTTGTTTGTTTATGTATATCTTTTTTTGTTTATGAGTTTGAAAAACAACAAAAAATACCATTTTACATGTACTTAAGTACACGCGCTTTTAAGTCTAGACCCAAGGCTTTGTCGTTATTTTATTATGGTTATCAAAAAACTGTTTTCACGCGTAGAATGTCTAGTGCATTGTAGCAATAAGCAGGTTATTTATAAAAACTCTTCAATTTTTTTTTTCTCAAAAGCGTCTAAACATTTGCGTTTTTCCATACTTTAATACTTATTATAAACTAACCATCAAAACTCACGTGTGTAAGACTAACAAGCCCCAATGAAAAACTTTTGTACTAATTGGCTAGCTTGATTTTTTTAATGACGACGGAGACATTTCAATCTTTAAAGTAGCGAATATTACACAACGACAATCCCTCTCAGCTATGAATATTAGGACTGGGCAGGAAACTGACCACAATAAGTCCTATTGAATTACTAGAAGCACTTTTAGCATAGTTCAAAGGTTAGTATTCTGCTGATGGATTTCAATCCTCCACTAAATCTTCTTTTGAACAACGATTCGTTTCAAAATAAGTTAACTATCTTTTAAATACGAGTTATGATTGACGAATATGTTGTTTATAACTGTATAAAAGAGAAATTAAGAAAACAGAACAATAGACCATGGACGTTATTTTTAGTTGCTTATTCTTGTACATTTATTTGATTTTTTTAAATATCTTAGTTAAAAAAGTTTTATTTTCTTATTTCCTCCTTTAGTTTTATTTAGTTTCAAAACTTGTTTATTAAGTAAAGATTTCATGAAAATCCAGATAAATTGAAAGCTAATAAATGATTTTAAAATATGAAAAACTGCAAAGAAGACTGGTATTGTTTTAGTATACTGTAATAAGGTTGTACTCGATTTACATAATGTAACAGAGGCCCCCCAGTGGCAGAGCGGTATGTCTGCGAACTTACAACGCTAGAAACCGGGTTTAGGTACCCATTGTGTAGCTTTGTGCTTTACTTCAAACAAACATGTAACAGAGCATAAGTTACCTTGAAAAGTTTTGGTTAGAGCTGACACAGCATGAGATAGCGTTATCGTTCTCATTATATTTTAACTCAAAATAGACTAATACACATACCTACGCAGATTAGACCAGAATATTCCTATTAGTATAACTATCCTCAGCCAATTATTTTAAACAGCACAGTGGATAAATACAAAAATAAAATTTTATCATTAGCGGAAATGTTGAATTACCCACAGCTAATACTGTTTTGTTGAATTACACACAGCTAATATTGTGTTGTTGAATTACACACAGCTAATAATGTTTTGTTGAATTTCACACAGCTAATAATGTTTTGTTGAATTTCACACAGCTAATATTGTTTTGTTGAATTACACGCAGCTAATATTGTGTTGTTGAATTACCCACAGCTAATAATGTCTTGTTGCATTTCACACAGCTAATATTGTTTTCGTAAATTACATACAGCTAATATTGTTTTGTTGAATTTCACACAAAGCTACTCAACAACAATCTGTACTCGCCGTCGCTAATTTTGAAGTGATAGACTGTATGTCAATACTCCCTACTTTCAACTCTTAGGCTATTCACTAACGAATAGTGGGATGGACAGTCACGTTATAATGTCTCAACGGCTGAATAGAGACTGGTTTTGATCCCACGACCCGAATATTGCGAGTCGAGCGCCCTAACCATCAGGCCATGACAATCGCCATCCTCAGATATTAACAGAAAAAGCTAATAATATTTACATTCTGCTAATGACATCTATTATTTTATTCAATGAACTGTACACGATTCTGCGTATGAATTTTTTGTTCAGTTTTTGTTTTAATGTTTACAAGAGTAGTACTTTAGAAACGCTCAACTTGCTAATCTGACACAATGTACAAAAATGTGTTTACTGTTGACCCCGTATAGTCAATATCATTGATAAGATAATAAAACAAAGAAAATTAATATTTAGGGTCGGTAGTCAGAGCGTTATAAAATAATTGCTACCTTAACTTAGTTATTATTTGTCATTCGATTAAGTTTAATCAAGAGTCTAGTTGAAAAACGAATCCAATCGAGCATGTGTTTGGAAATAGGATATTTATTGTTTTTTTATTGCATTAATAATATTAATACTTTCATGAGTTTATTTATCTCAGTTTTCATTCAAAGTTAATTGAATAAATAAAAAACACAATATATTTTAAAATAGATCTTTCTGTGAAGTGTGCTAATTACAAAGTATACTTTTAAATACTAGGGCAGTAAACTAGCTTGTTTAAAAATTTAGTCGCATCTAACAATAGCAAAATAACAATAATTTGGACCAATCTAAACTTTATGCCTATGGCTCAGCGGTTAAGCCTGAGCGCAAATAGCCCTTTGTGCAGCTTTAAGCTTAACCCCAAACAAAGCGATATATCAATCGATCCCAATACTTATGATACTATTGTTTTTCTTAATAATTTCACAGTGAGTAGAAGGTACAACTTTGTTAAAAGGATAAATAAAAAAGTATAAATTAAAAGAGGTCAACATTCGTGGGCGAATGCAAAATGTCTCCGCCATGCAAGCCCAACATGGCCAATTTTGACACCAGAAAAACCGTGAGAAACATAGAAATGTCCAAAACTGTCTATATTACTGCTTGAAACTTGCAAGAAGGTATTTTTGTTTCAAATCCAATGTAAGTTGGTTGACATACACATGAATAGTTCACGAAAATCTCAAAATGTGCTTTCCACGCTGGAAAATTGGGCGAATGACAAAATTTCCCAAATTGTCTATACCTCTGTTTGAGATCTGTAAAAAAGTATCTTTGTACCAAATTCCATGAGTGACTTTCAAAAACCATTAAAATAATGCTTTTTTTTTGTGGCATCCTGAACCCCCTATAATTAATAAAAATGGGCAAGTCCAACATTTTTGTAGGTCATTGTATGTTGCCAATAGAAAAATATCTTTGTATTAAATCCCATGTAAATTGGTCTAAACAAGGCTATGTAAATGACCAACACCCCTAAAATTATGAATTTATTTAAATCTTTAATCCCCTAAAATGACCCAAAATAGGCATACCCCACATATTTGTATGTATATGTGTGGGACCTGTGAAAAAAAGTATCTTTGTGCCAAATTCCATGTAAATTGCTCATAATATAGCCAAGTTATTGACGAAAACCCCCAAAATTATGCTTTTTTGTGAGCTCTGACCCCCTCCCTAAAAAAAGTCTCAAAATTGAAAAATATAATTTTGTTTTGTATGTCAATGTGTTGGAAGCAAAGAAAAAAAATAAAGATATTTTTGCCAATTTTCACCTTGATTGCCATAAATATTACCGCATAGAAGCCCAAAATATACATTTTTGGGTTGTTTGACATATGACCATAAATAAAAGAAAAAGAAAAACGGTGTCTGGGCATATTGGACCAAGGTATAACCCTAATAAATTTCAAATTAATCAACCGAGAAATGAAGGAATGACGGTCGATTGAAAAGTATTTAGAAGAAGAAGAGGAGGGAATAGAAAACTAATGTCTTTCTGTGGAGCCATAACTAATGAGAGAACAACAATATGTCTTTCTGTTGAGCCATAACTAATGAGAGAACAACAATATGTCTTTCTGTGGAGCCATAACTAATGAGAGAAAAACAATATGTCTTTCTGTGGAGCCATAACTAATGAGAGAACAACAATATGTCTTTCTGTGAAGCCATAACTAATGAGAGAACAACAATATGTCTTTCTGTGGAGCCATAACTAATGAGAGAAAAACATGTCTTTCTGTAGAGCCATAACTAATGAGAGAAAAACAATGTCTTTCTGTGGAGCCATAACTAATGAGAGAACAACAATATGTCTTTCTGTGGAGCCATAACTAATGAGGGAAAAACAATATGTCTTTCTGTGGAGCCATAACTAATGAGAGAAAAACAATATGTCTTTCTGTGGAGCCATAACTAATAAGAGAAAAACAATATGTCTTTCTGTGGAGCCATAACTAATGAGAGAACAACAATATGTCTTTCTGTGGAGCCATAACTAATGACAGAACAACAATATGTCTTTCTGTGGAGCCATAACTAATGAGAGAAAAACAATATGTTTTTCTGTGTAGCCATAACTAATGAGCAAGATAGCATGTATTTCATAAAATTATTATTTAAAAATGCCAAACCAGAATAAAGCAAAGCCATAGATAGAAAATATCCTAGCAACGCGTAGTGAAATTTCTTTAAACTATTTCTAATGTGGCTATATTCTCTACAGTAATAATTCTGTGGGATTACTCTTTGTTATTCTAATGTGCTTATATCCTCTACAGTAATGGTTGTGTGGGATTAATTTTTACGTTTTACTATTATAATGCGCATATATCCTTTGTAGTAATGGTTCAGTGGGTGATTTACTTTATAAGCTTGCGAGGGTACTTATCTAACGTGGTATTTCTAATAACACAACTCAGTAATCCAAAATATCAATAATTCATGAAAACGATTCAAATTTCGAAGCAATCCATACTTAGTTTTTCGCCTTACGTATACCTCAGTCGATGAGTAACATAAAAAGTACTTGTCATAACTTAAACATTTTTATATAAGTAAAAAAAAAAGTTAGAGATAATATTTGGCACTTGCATTTAGCAGCAACATTATTACAAGTTAACCTGCCACGTGTACTTATGAAAAAGATACTTGAAGCGTAAAAACTTTTGAACTGTAAAGGATATCGAGAGTCTTGAAACCCTATGCCAGTTGACTGTCTTATTATGAAACACATGTAATGTACTGTGAAACGTCATGCCCATTATCTGTCTGGCTGTGTATTGATTTTATTATTAGAACGGCTGTGTAACTGGTGCTGTCTCGTGAAGTGTGTGCATAGAAAGTGATATATTTAATATTCACAAAGTAAATTCTACAGAAGCTCAGATAATGGTTGGTTAAAACTTACAATAATAATTTGATGAGAAAAATCTAAAATTAAATATATTTTATTCAGCAACCAACAAAAGCGACAGACAAAATAAGGACGAGTTGTTCTGCCTAGTCAACATTAATAACCGTTACGCTATGAAGCAGTTTTTCCGTCTTAACTTCCTCACTTGTGTGTTTAAATGGAGAGTTAGACTTTCAGTTTGAGAGAAAATCGGTCACGTGTCAATCAGCTCCACGGACTATTTAATAGATGTGAACCA